AAATTATTGTTTCGGGTCTAGGTGTAATTTGTGTGAACTTGTATGTTTGTAAACGCACCCACGACACAGGAGTAAATCCGAGTGTGGGGCAAAGATTTAAAAAAAGGCAAAAAATATGTCGTACAGCTTACTTACGTAACTGTTCGACTCGATTGATTCCAAGCCAAATTAGAGCCCATAGTCTTGAATAATGGTCGTTAGAAACTTGTCGAGTAATTTTGTCGAATGGTTATTTAAATAACATGTGCAATATAATGTAAAATAATAAACAATTTAGTACATTTTTGCTGCCTTGGAAATGTGTTAAAAATTTTAAAAATATGTAAAAAGTAAAAAGGTGTTTCCCGTAAAATTTTAATTTTACTTACCTATACCTTTTTTAAATTAATGTAGGTACTTACTGGATTTTACACTGAATTATTATTTTTAATTTGTGAACTATTATTTTAGTAATTTAAATAATTATATTGAAATGTATAATAGAATAAAATTTATTTTATAAACAAATGTACTCTATTTTTTAGTAATGTAACATAGGAAATTTGTATTTCATTTTACTACTTATTTATCATTAGAAACTTATATAATGCGTATTGAGTTTTTTGTAAATATCAAGATTTGTTTAAAACAATTTCTATTTAATAAATATTATTTGTTTCTATAGATGAATTATTGTTTTATTTATTATTGTACAATATTGCCCTTGTATACCTAATACCTACTTTTCGCTATTTATGTTATGAGTCCTATGTAATAGGGGGTGAGCCTATTGCCATATACCAGACACAATTCCAAACTCCGTGCTACTACTGAGAATTTTTAAAAACTACCCAGGAATCCCAACCAGTCGCAGTTGCCAACGATGTTCACAATACAATTCTCTAGTTACATAGTTTTATTGGTTCGATTGTGCGAGAACAATGTAACATTCAGTCAAAGAGATCGAATCTTGTAGGTTGATGCAGGTCGCTTATTGGCTATGTGCAAAGCGAGTAGTGGCGGACAGATGACGACCGCAGCGCACAACACGGCAGAAATTGGAAACAAATGCGGATGATCAGCTGTCAAATGTGTTAATTGCTGTACAAAATCAAAGCAAAGAATTAATGGACTATGACTCGTATTAAGTATCTCTGGCCGTTATGTCGCAGTTCTTCCACATTTCTTACATGCTCGGCTAATACTAATTTATGCATTTTGTCTCAGTTCGTAGTTAAAAACTAATATTATGTGTAATAGTTTTCAAACCCGGTTTTTATTATTATTCATTTTACAGTAAAACTATTGAATGAATTGCACTTAAATAATGTCAACAATACTATTAAAATTTTTGGTTTTGTTTATATTTGCAAAGAAAACTATAATGTTTACATTGTTATTATTGACAGCTTCCGCAAACGTTGTAAACGCTACGCGACGCCACCGTCACGCACATAGCCAATAGCCGGCCTATGTACATTTAAATAGTAGGTACATTTTAGGTAAAATTTTTTTGATGCCAGGTAGAAAGAATTTGCTTCGTTCAATTATAATCATATACCCGCCATTTTGTCTCTCACATGTGGAAGTCATGTGGGTGATATGATGATGATGATAGAAATACATAATATCACGCCACTTATCCCTGAAGGGGTAGGCAGAGGTAAACATTACGGCACTTAATGCCACTGTGCTCACTAAATCCCCATAAAGAATACTAGTATCATAATTATCATACCATACTAGTATCCCACTAAATTAATACATAATTGCATAGTAAGTAAGTGCGATTCCACAAGCATAAACTAGTTCAATTTATAAGAACAACAATATAATTATTATAGTTTACTATGTATGTAATTTGCTTATATTAATTAATGGTCAGGAAAAAATGCGAAAACTTGTGCCCAAAAAGTTCTTGTTAATTTTGTACACATAACATAACATAACATCACGCCTTTTATCTCCGAAGGCGTAGGCAGAGGTGCACATTATGTCACTGTACAATGTAACACTCATTTTTAAACTATTTATGTTATGAGTCCCATGTAATAGGGGGTGAGCTTATTGCCATATACCGGGCAAAATTCCAGACTCCGTGCAACACAAAAACTACTAAATGGGTTTAAAAATGCAGAATAATAAATACATGTTAAGGTGGGACCTGGCAAGGCAAGATGAAAAGGATAGGAAAAATGTCACTATCGCACCCTCGCACCCACGTGAGACGGGACACCGGGGTGGGTTGCAGTCAGTAAGAGTCTGATAGGTCCTTTCGTCCTCCCCAGACGAGGGGGCTCCATGAGGATTTCTCACCTTAAGAGACAAAAAATAGTTTAAAACTACAAGTTTCCAACTATAAAGTCAAATTTAATTCTCTTTATATATTTTTTGCGACAGTGTGTTGCCCTCGTTTTCTTCTGTGTGACGTATTCAGAGGGTCAAATAGCGCAATTATGTTTTAAAAAAATACCTCTACTATATATAAAATATATAAAAATAAGATTAGATTCAAATCAAAATGACTGAAAAAAATATATATATTTGAAATAAAAACACAATAGATACTGATACTTTTTTATTTAAACTTATAATTATTACGTCATTTGTCTGTTTCATTAAAATTATTATTTTAAAAAACTTACAATAAATTTTATTTTATTTAATATCACAAAACTTTCTTTACACTACATAACAATATTTATTTAATTCAAAAATATTAATATTTAAAATGAATAAACTGAAAAATGTCTAAAAATATTGCTTATTTAAAAAGCACCATATTATTATTAAATAACAGAAAAAAACAATATTAATTTAACAATTATTTAAAATATATAGTTGTTTAGCAACTGGAATGTTGCATTATAAATTAAATAAAATTATAAGTAAGTAATACTCTTTTTTATCATTTCATTTTATATCAAAATATATCCAACGCCTACAATTTTATTACAGTTATAATATTTAATTTTATTATTTTGTAAGTTATTATTAACAATAAAATTATTTCTATCAAAATGTAATTATTATTTATAGTGAAAATGTATTTTATAGACATTGATAATAAATATTTTAATGGTATTTATAAGTTATATAGTACAATGTACAATTTATAAACTTTTGAAACAGATAAAATATGATTTGTAGTAATTTTAAAAACAATTTTTACTGAAATATAATTACATATGTACTTATTTCAGATATATCTATAGATTTTGGTGTCCAAATAACTTTTAGAAACGTTATGAACTTTAAATTCTACATGATTGTGATATTTCATTTGTGTATAACAATTTAAATCTATATTATTATAAAATTATCCATGATTAAAATTATTCATAATTATACAATCATCCAAAATTGTATAATTACAACAAACTATAAAATACAACATAATATACAAACAATAATTAATATTATAAAACACATTTTTGGTAAATAATTATAAATATATCTTTATAAATTAATCAAACTCTTCAAATAATGAAACACGATTAAAATAATTCCTAAAACAATAAAATTTTGTTTATAATTATTAAACAATAATTTCTGCATTAAAAATATTTAAACAATTGTATTAAGTACCACGTGTATTTAATTCGTACATAAAGAAAAAAAATGTGATCAAATATTCTCTCTTATTTTTCGTAAATAATTATAATTCTACAATTTGTTTCGCAGTTAATTAAAAATCGTGGTTAATGATAGTTCGCGGATTTTAATATCATATCAATAAAATAAACATTCGGAGCTACAGCAAAAACATGGTTACTATCTCTGTACTGAAACAATCTTCATTTTTTGCCTGGATACTAAATATCTGCACATTATATGAATATTATAATGTATAGTATGTATTATAATGTAGACAATTATGTATCACACTCTTATTCTAAAATTTGTTCAATGAACAATACTGTACATACTATCGCACTATGTGAATATTTGTACGAAGACGACTCGAATAATATATTTAAAAACTTACATCTTACGCAACCACGTCAAAACGGCTGAAGGGATCGAGATGAAATTCGAAACAGGGGTAGACTATGGTCAGGTATAACACATAGACTTTTCTTTCCACGGTAACGCGAGTGACGTCGCTGACAGAAGCTAGTAGACAATATAGAAGCATAACATTGTTATACGTAGAATAAATAAGATAACATAACATCACGCCTTTTATCCTCGAAGGGGGAGGCAGAAGTGCATACAGAAGTAACACCCACTTTTCACTATTTATGTTATGAGTCCCATGTAATAGGGGGTGAGCCTATTGCCATATACCGAGCACATTAATCCAGACTCCGTGCTAAAACTGAGATTTTTTAAAACCCGGTAATACTTTGAATCGGGAATCGAACCTGAGACCCCTTGCCCTACAGTCGCACTTGCGACCACTCGGCCAACGAGGCAGTCGGTAGTCGGTAGTCGGTAGTGCAAAATAAATTGCAACATTCCTAATGCGTTCTGCATTTAATATTAAAAATATAGCTCAAAAAATCTTCGGACGGATGACGTGTTAAAGTTAATGATCAATATTTATATATCGCAGTTGAAATATATTAACAAGCTTAGATAGCTTGATGGCTTCGTACGAATTCACGTACGAGTACGGCACTCTTATTGGGCAGTTCATTGGAGCGACCATTCAGAATGCCAAGTACGAATAACTATCGAATTCGTAATGTAATAGTATCGAGCGCGTTCGGCGCTCTCATTGGCGTGCCAGTGAACCAACCAATTAGATTAGAGCCGAACGCGCTCGATACCATTACGGTACGAATTCGATAGATGCTTGGCACCCAGAGGGCTAAACAATTTAGATTCGTACTAAGCCTTCTGGGTGCTTACTCTTCAAACCAATCTCAATAAAATCTCAATAATTATTTAATGTCAACACTATACAACCACTACCGTAGTTGTTACAATAGCATTCAGAGTACGGAATATAAAGCCAAACTCAATACCATTTAGTTCATTCAATATCCACGCAATACGGATGCAATGGGCGCTAGTGTTGCAACTCAAGAGTTCGTTTCACAATACCAATGTCGATCGATCGGAATTGGATTCAAGAGTAAGCCCCCAGATAGGATAACTCATCAGGCTAATTAGTCTAGCTAGATTAAAAAGATGTCTAAGTAGGTAGTTAGACTGCTTCACAAATATACCTAAGTTTTATATATAGAAATAGGTATGAAAAATGGAAAATTTAAACATGGTTACATCAGTAAGAATTGTGCTATAAACGTAAGAGTATTAAATAGTGATTTTTTGTTAACTAAAAATATCGTTAAGGACAAAAATCCGTCAGATTTATTGCTATGAATGTTTATCACGCAATAATGCAAAAACTAATGAATGGATTTTGATAAAATTTTGGCTGCAGATAGACTAAAACCTGTGCTAGGCGGAGAGCTAAAGAATACAATAAATGTAATAGTTACGTTGAACAAAAAATTTAACCATATCAGCCAGGCGAATGAGAGCTTACAGTTTCAAAAAAAAGCACCGTATACACAAATTAGAATAAGTACATAAAAAATAATCTTAAATCACAAAACTACTAAACATACGTTCAAAAAGCGCACAACAAAACGATAAATAAAATTAAACAAGTCCAAACATACTCTATAATACTCAAAAGTATTGTTGTCTCTTTCCAATATCTTCTGTCTCCTTCTAATGCCATTGGAAGACACAGTGGCATAACATTAAATACCCTGAAGCTACTATTAAATGACCTATCATTATAGGAAACCCTATTTTGAAAAATTGTAGGAAAGTGAATCTGTAACCATGTTGTTCAGCCACTCCTGCGCATACTACATTTGCGCTGGCGCCGATTAAAGTGCCGTTACCTGGAAGAAAATGTAAGATCTATTAAAAACAAATTGTATTATAGAAACAACATATAAGTAAATTATAACTATTTTTTTATGACATAAGCCGGTAAACGAGCAGACGGATCACCTGATGGTAAGCAATCGGCGTCGCCCATGGACACATGGAACACCAGAGGCGTTACAAGTGCGTTACCGGTTTTTTGGAGATTAGGAGTTTGAGGATCGATGGGGATTCACGGATTGGGGACATTGGGGAAGGGGAGGGTAATTGGGCCGACGGTAACCTCACTCACACAACGAAACAACGCAAGCGTTGCTTCACGTCGGTTTTCTGCTCGGCCGTGGTATCACTCCGGTCGAGCCGGCCCATTCGTGACGAAGCATGGCTCTCCCACACTTAAAACAACTTGTCTAGTTTCAATATTTTGAGGTCCGTAGGCTAGCCAACTGACCTGAACCTCCTGCCTGCCAACCATGTATATGATGGGGATGCATATGCTGTCGTGAGGGTCGATGGCGAAAAGATGCGGCAGGTATCAGGTCAAACAATTCCTCAGTGCATATAATACATAACAACATAACATCACGCCTTTTATCCCCGAAAGATTAGGCAGAGGTGCACATGACGGCACTTAACGCCACTGTACAATGTAACACCCACTTTTCACTATTTATGTTATGAGTCCCATGTCATATACCGGGCACATTTCCACACTCAGTGCTACGACTTTGTGCTTAGATTACAAAAAAAATCCCCGTATACCTAATACTTTGCCCGACCCAGGAATCGAACCCGAGACCCCTGGCCCTGCAGTCGCACTTGCAACATCTCGGCCAATGAGGTAACGTATTTATTTTTTGCAATTTAAAAGTATTAATATCTCTAAAACCTTACCTCCTAAACAGGCGCCAAATGATAGCGCCCATATTAAGGGAGCCATCGGCAGGTTGAGGGCGGGGTTGTTCCCTAATGACGTCACCACTCGCACCATCATGGTGGTCAGCGGTATATTGTCCACGAACGCTGAAGTCACTCCCGAAACCTGAACACAATTTATTGATAAAGTTAATGCATTTAGACTATTGCCAAACATTTCTTCAGTGGTTTAAAATAGCGTATTTGTAAAACATACGCTTTTTCAGTATAAATAAGAATGTATATTATTGTAGTCTTTAGTGTACCGGTGTTTTCATGGTTGTATCCACGGAATATAGAATACAATGGAAGTAGCAAGTAGGCGTGGCACGCGTGCCACAACTAAGCTGTGTACTGCTTAGTCGAGGCAAATTTGAGTTCAGTCTCGTTCGAACATCGCGTCGAGTTGCTAGTCTCGTGACAAATACATATTTCCTCAACTATGCCGTTTTGTTTCGTTTTGGCGTGTAAAAATGATAGCAGCCGAAAAATCGTAAAAATGGAGGTGTTCCGTATCATCGGTAAGTACAATTTTCATTGTTTTCTTGTAAAAATCTTATTTTATTTCAATTTACAAAAAACGGTTATTAAAATAATATTATTTACTAAAACGGTTAGTCAAATTCAACCTTACGCCTTCAAGATAAAGTTTATTTTGGATTTATTCCATTCAATAGAACATTCTCGCCAGTTCTACGCTACTCAAATAGTGATGTGGTCAAATCACATATTGAATTTATCGATTGATATCGATGCAAGTGTAATGTAACATTTATTTAGATTATTTTTTTATTATTATTTTAGTGGTGACCCCGACGTGATTGGAAGCAACCTTCACTTCACGGAGCAGATCAGCACCGTCATCCTTATCGCCATCCCTCTCATTTATCACATTATCCATATAAAGTTTGTAAAAATTTATGGGTCGTTCTCAAAAAAGTGGCTCAGACCGAATTAATTTGTCAATTTCAAAAAATGTTTCAAATGTCGAGTTTTTTTTATATAAATCTATTGGCTGTGTTTTACCGAAACTGAATTAATGAAAGGGAAGCAGATTAACTGGAAATTGAGTGAAATAGAGCCTTCCAAAAAAATGACCTCACAGGTTAAAGAGGTATTATACAGGTTAATGAGAAAACGATATCAGGTAACAGAAAAAGCAATGCAATTATGCAAAATCTGCGTTTATTTTATTATATAAACTAACAAAAATAACGGTTTTAATAATAATAATAATAATTCACAACTTCCACACGTGAATTAGACATTCATTTAAACATTTACGGATACAGGCACAACTAGAATAGCTGTACTATATTTTCATAATCTAAAGTAAAATTTAATCAGTCTAAAACAATTAGCAATTTTATTATTATTATTATAAAAAACCTAAAAAGACATTGAGATACATTATGATAAACATGTCTTTTGTTTTTCAACTAGAACAAACTAGGTATATTGTCTCATAACTAAATTATATGCCAATCTGTCCTAAACCAGCTCTAAATGGTAATTCTAAAAGTACTAAGTGCTTATAATTTCTTCTTATGACTTTTAAGTTGTCAGTACAATATCTGCAATAAATGAACGGGGCGATTGCAGTCATTATATTCTGAATAACCATTTCTATGAGACCGACTCTGTAACGGAGATAAA